ATATATATATATATATAAAACAAACAAATTAAAACAGTTAAAACAGATATATTGTTATAAATAAATGCAAAATAAAAACTATGGGACAACACATTAACATCCTATATAGAGGGTAATTGTCCTGTGTGTTCCTAAAATCTGCTGGAGAAAAATGGTTTTCAGAGATGTCTAAAATGCCAATAGAGTCAGGACTAATCTCGCCTCAGGGGGAATAATGTTCCAAAGGGTAGGTACCATGAAAGAAAAGGCCCAATTCCTGTGACCTATCAGATGAAACTCTTTACCAGATGGGACTACAGCATACTTGTCTTTCCAAGAGGCTGGTTGCAGCTGGCATGGCGGAGAAATTTACATCTAGCTACAGTTCCCAGAATTCCTCATGTCTCAACTCTTTCTCTGCTCATATATAATACCTACATGAAGTTGTTAGGCAGTATCATTTGTCAGTATGGGGCTTAAGTATTATGTATGTGTTGCTATTACTCAGATATACAATTCTAACTTTGGTAAACCCAAACTTATTTCTATGCTGTTCTGAAGGCTGTGAGCAGCTAGATGGAAAAGAATAGGCTTTGACCTAGAATGATTGAATGGTTCTAATTTTTAAGACAACCCTCCATGTCAGGAATTTTTCATGTAAGGATGTATTGGCACTTCCCGACATAGATATTGCTTGCATCTTTGAAGTTCTGCTGGACTCTCTCAGACTTGCTCAAAAAGCAGGTGGCAGCTGTGACTAGGAGCATCTTTGCACAAATCTTGTGTGCTCACCATGTTTATACTTGGATAGGGAAACTTTGATCACAGTCATCCATTTCTGGTTCACTTTCTCTTTGGACTATTGCAAGAGACTCTCCTTGATGGTGACTCAGAATCTACAACTGCTCCATAACATATAGTTATGGTGCACCATGGTATGCTCATGTAACACCATCACTTTAGTAAATGAGCTGGCTCCTAAAGGATTTTGAGTGTAATTCCAATGGCTAATTATTAAGTAACCCAACGGGTTGAGTTACTTATAGGATGGCCTATCACCAATTATTTCTGCCCACCCCACAAAGTTTGACAAAGTAGACATGTTCCAGATCCCTTCTATGAAATTATTAAATGAAATGGGATCCAGAAAGTGTACCTTCTCTTTTACAACTCCTGCACTGTGGAAAAGCACTATCCACAAATGTAGATGGCTCTGATGGCTTTTTGTAAAATGAAAAATCTGATATTTTTTTCCCCATGGACAGTTCTGGAATGATTAAAAGGGACTGGCCTTGAATGTTTTGTTTATTTCTTTTTGTTATTAACCCAATACTAACCCAATTTAATAATTTAAAGTATTAAGATCTCTTTATTAATCAGATTTGCCACAACTTTGGGCAAAAAGGTTTTTGTTTTGCATTGACCACAGCAGAAGTTCAGCTTTCTTCTCCATAAATTACAGCAAAATATTCCCTGAAAGCAAGCACTGGCTAGCATGATTAGTAAATTTTTAGGAAAATTAAAATAAAAATGGACTTTCCTGTAATGAGTAGTTAAATGTCCTATAACACCAGGAAGACCATACAGGTCATACATGACCACCAGGCCTAGATTTAATGGCACCTGAATAGCGACTAAGCACTGCTCAAGTTCAATACACAAGACAAATCTGAACTAGCAACCTCTCCATTGATCTGCTACATTATTCTCCTTATCTCGTATTTGAACAAGCTGCACCTTGTGAAATCCTACGCTGGCGATCGGAAAACTACCCGCTTTAAAAGCCACCGGGCCTAACCATGAGGTTTGCATATCGATTCTCTGCAGCCACCAAAAATAGCTGCCTCCAGCCATTCCAATTGCAAGAAATAAAAACCTTCGCCGTCTGGGCCTGAACAAGGAAGCAACCCAGCGAATGCAAACTGAGATAGTAGAGCGTTGCAAACCACTCACCGCTGCTAATGACTTCAAGCAATGCTTTCTCCTCCTCGTTCAAGTCACCTCTCTTTGGAAGCGCCATCGCCTATTTTATGTATATTCTTCCTTTTTTTTAATTCCCTCCTTGCCAACAGTCATAAAATGGAGCGTGTCCACACTAGAAACCGCGGCCGATCAACAGTGGCGACTCCGAAGCTTCCTCTGAGCGCTTTACCGGAGCCTTTCCGTGCGCGCTCCGATCTCATGGCCCATACCATCTTGTCACTGGGGAGAGGGGAAGTCTAAAGGCAGGCTGACATGTAGAGGGTAATGCATCTCTTTACGGGACCTGAGCTGTTTGGTCGGCCACGCATAAGTGTACGAGGAACAAAGTAAAAGTAGCGATTAAGAATATGCTAAACTTCCTGAATATGATCAATCACCCCCTCTTTGTTTATAATGGTGCAGCCTAGCCGTGAAGTAGGCGGAGCTCAGGCTGCTTTTAGGTGTCAATGTGCTCGCCCTTCACTTCTCCATTGTGTGCAGACGCTGGTATTGCGTGTATTGTTGGCTTCTCCTTAGACCAGAGCCTCTTCACCGGCAGAGGTAAGCGAATGTTGGGTTGTGGAGAACCGGCGCCTTGAGCAAGAAAAAGGCAGAAAGCGAAGAGGAGGAAAAGTTGAACAAAAGGAGTACAAGGCACAAAGAGAAGAGGGGGCAGGAGGCATAATTACTCTGGCTTTAGAAGGCATAGAAATGGAAACTCTTGTTTTTTCCGACAGGTTTGACTGCTTAGCTAATCAGTTAGCCAGGCTTTGGGCTAAAGGCTTTCGAGCGACTGCAGCAGCATCAGCAGCGGCGGGAAATTTTGGAGGCGAGACCAACTTTGTGTTGGAAGAGGTGTACGTGCGTGACTTTAGCAAGGTGACATGGGACAAGAACGTCGTGCTGGGTTGGAAGCAGCAGCGGGAGCTTTTAAAGCGTTCATTTGTGCAGCTGCCTTTTGCGGGAGGGCGGGCCAGAAACTGTCTTTGCGTGGGGATTTAAAGGCCTCCTAATAGGGATTTGGAGGAGGTGGGGGCAAATACAATACTAAAATACAATACGACGAAACGTGTTGGGCACCGAAGTAGCACCAAAGAGAAATAAAAAAGGTGCCATCTTTTCCTTATCTCTTTGGTGAGGCCCCGCACTTGGTGAAACGGTTATAAACGAAGGAAGGAGGCGTTTGATACTTTGTAATATCCCAAAAGCAGGTACTGGTTGCTTGAGGAAGTGAAAGCTTGCTGATGCAGCGCTACAGATCCGGTGGTCTTTAAAACCAATCTCTGTCTTTCTGTGGGGCAGCGGGGCACGCTGTTTTTTTTTTTTTTTTTTACAGAAGCGCAGTTGGCATCCAAGAAACGTCGACCAGAGAAGTATAAATTTCATTTGTGTGGCATTTTATGATAACTTAGAATATTAGATTATTTATCTGACAGTAAATTCCATTTGGGCTCAATTCTGAGTTGTCATGTGGGTTACATCTGTCTGAAGGAACCAGTGTATGAAATTCTGAGTGTAGTTCATTAATGTACAGGTGTATTTAAATATATATTTCAAAATGATTGAGATTTGTGGTTAAAGGGTAAGGTTGGGAGGATAGCAAATGTCTTGAAAACTCCTTGTACCAAACAAACTTTTTATCTCTGTCACTCTGAATGCTTTTATAAAAAAATAAAGTTGCATAAAGTTGTTTAGATTTCCATGGGTTTGTTGAGGGCATTCAAGTTTATTATGCTTAGACAGTATCTTAACTGAGTAGGGGAAGACAAATAACTTAAAAGTAACATTAAAATTATTTACAAGGTTTACTGTTTCATTGAAAGATACTGTAGCAACCAACCAGTAATGTAATGTCAGGGATCTCAGATTTGAGGAGATTGAACAGATCTAGGATGAAGCCCCAATAAATTAAGACTCATTTATAAAATTAGAGTTTCTTGGTTTTATTTTTCCTAAGGATTAGTAGAAATTCCGTTTTGCAATTGTGGTTTATTTAGTGGAATACTTTCTGAATATGACTTTGAACTCCTTTTTAAAAGTTAAAATTTCACAAATGCAAGATTAAAATATAACATCTTGGTTTTATTAAACAATATACTAAAACAACTTTTTAAATATATTTTCTTTCAATTATAATTCTTGCTTGGCTATTAGATATTTTTTATAGCTTACAAATAATTCTGAGCAGCATTTTATACTATTGATTGTGTTAGGCTAATTACACAAGGCTAGTAGTATTTTCAAGTAGATGCACTTCTGCATCCAACTTGCTCTACGTCCAGTATCATGTGTCAAGCATTCTCATGGAGAGCTGTAAAAGTGGGTACAGATGAGGGAAAAACCCACCATCCTTGCAAATAGGTGTGATTGGATGTAATTTTGTCCAGGTAAACCTGTGTAAAGCCTTCTGGATCATGTAAGATCCAATTTGTGTAATGATTTAGTCACCAGGCTAGAGACCAGGAAACTGAGTTCTATTCAGAAGTCAACACTAATTTGAATGCATAAACAAACATACATGCTCTTTGTTTTTTATTCTTTGTTCAATCAGCTTTTAGCAATTATGATCAAAGGTGATTATCAGATCCAAATGAAAAGAACTAGAGCATCTTGCTGTTCTCAGCTGAAAGTTACCAATCCCCTTTAATAAGGAATTATAGTCTTTTCCACTTTGTGGCTATGTTTATCTGGAAACTATAATTTAAGATCTATAATCCACCACAACTAAGATCTATATTATTACAGATGAATTTGTCAGGTGATAATTTACTACATTTTGTACAGTATTTCTTGGACCATTATTTAAGAAAACATTGTAGTTGCATGATTCTAAACTATGTGTGCAGTGGAGTGAAGATTATTCATAGGTTGATTGATAAACTTGTTTGGAACAAGTGGATTTGATTTGGAACAAATAGAAAGACTAAAATTGTTGACTATTGTTTTCTTTCTAATAATATTATGAAAAGGCAATCCATCATCCTGTCCGTAAATTCTATATTAAACTACACAATGTACTGCCTGCAGATAAATGCAACTTCTGCTATTGTTTTAATCTTTCTCCATTGTGTAACGTTGGACAAACATAAGATTGTCTTTTCAGTACTGCTTCCTTTTCATTGTGCTTTCTTTTCAAAAGGTACGAAATATTATGCCACTGAAGATTAAGAGATAAAATTGAACAAAATATTATAGGTGTCTATTTTTGGCAAGTGCTATATTATTTGGTAATACAGTAATTATAGCAAATATTGATTCAGCTATAATGAATTATATGTCTAGGTTCAAGTTAAATCACATTTGAAATAGGCCTATTGCAATAAACTATTCAGGACTTCCCAGGCTCAAATTAAAATATAATAAATGTAAGTACAGTCTGCTGCTTAAATCAAAAATACGTACAGATTTAATGCCTCTTTTTCTTTATAAAATGTGTATGTTTTATATAAAAACCCCCATAAAATTAGTATTTTTAAATGGACTTGAAAGATACAAATTAAAATAGCTATTCCTATTTATTCAGAATAAAACCATGGAAAGATAACTGGTAAATGAAGACATCTGTCAGTTCATATTTTTCTCCAAATAATAGTCTTCTCCACCAAAACAATAAAATGTATTTAATTTATTGATTAGCTTTCCTGGTAAAAAAGATGTTTCAGGTGAGTACCCATGATACATGAAATAAGATAAATACTAACTAAAAATGTCAGTCCAGTTGCAAAAAAAAATTATAACAAGGAATCAAAAGCTGTATCTTGTACTATAATGGCTTTTTACCCTTCTGTATAAGATGTTCTATGTTCAGTTCAGTCATATATATATTACATATATAATACATACCATATGTATATATACAGGTGAAATTCAAAAAATTGAATATTGTGCAAAAGTTCATTTATTTCAGTAATTCAACTTAAAAGGTGAAACTAATATATGACATAGACTCATTATATGCAAAGCAAGATAGTTCAAGCTGTGATTTGTCATAATTGAGATGATTATGGCTTACAGCTCATGAAAACCCCAAATCCACAATCTCAGAAAATTAGAATATTACATGCAATCAATAAAACAAGGATTGTACATAGAATAATATCGGACCTCTGAAAAGTATAAGCATGCATATGTACACAGTACTTGGTTTGGGCCCCTTTTGCAGCAATTACTGCCTCAATGCAGCATGGCATGGAAGCTATCAGCCTGTGGCACTGCTGAGGTGTTATGGAAGACCAGGATGCTTCAATAACGGCCTTCAGCTCTTCTGCATTGTTTGGTCTCATGTCTCTCATCTTTCTCTTGGCAATGCCCCATAGATTCTGTATGGGGTTCAGGTCAGGTGAGTTTGCTGGCCAATCAAGCACAATAATCCCACGGTCATTGAACCAGGTTTTGGTGCTTTTGGCAGTGTGGGCAGGTGCCAAGTCCTGCTGGGAAATGAAGTCAGCATGCCCATAAAGCTCGTCTGTGGAAGACGAGCTGTCTCCTGGTAGACAGCTGCATTGATCCTGGACTTAATTAGACACAGTGGACCAACACTAGCAGATGACATGGCTCCCCAAATCAACACAGACTGTGGAAACTTCACACTGGACTTCAAGCATCTTGCAGTGTGTGCCTCTCCATTCTTCCTCCAGACTCTGGGTCCTTGGTTTCCAAATGAGATGCAAAAATTGCTCTCATCAGAAAAGAGGACTTCGGACCACTGACCAGTTCTGTTTTTCTTTAGCCCAGGTAAGACACTTTTGATGTTTGTTGTTCAGGAGTGGCTTGACGAGAGGAATACGACATTTGAAGCCCATGTCCAGGATCCGTCTGTGTGTGGTGGCTCTTGATGCACTGACTCCAGCCTCAGTCCACTCCTTGTGAAAGTCCCCAACACTTTTGAATGGACTTTTCCTGACAATCCTCTCTAGGCTGCAGTTATCCCTGCTGCTTGTGCACCTTTTTCTTCCACACTTTTCCCTTCCACATAACTTTCTATTAATGTGCTTTGATACAGCACTTTGGGAACATCCAACTTCTTTTGCAATTACCTTTTGAGGCTTTCCCTCCTTATGGAAGGTGTCAGTGATGGTTTTCTGCACAACTGTCAGGTCAGCAGTCTTTTCCATGATTGTGATTCCTACTGAACCAGACTGAGAGACCATTTAAAGGCTCAGGAACCCTTTGCAGGTGTTATGACTTAATTAGCTGATTAGAGTGGGACACTTTGAGCCTAGAATAT